TCTACAAATCTCCATCAGATGAATACAGCACAGGAGTGGGGATGATAGGAATCAAGGCATCTGACACACCAGCACATTTAACGTCCTTGTCATCAATGGGGGCGACGTCCACCTTTCCTGTGCACTGGATTTGCTATCTTAAAAGCACAACACAGATATCTGATCTTTGCACACAGTAAAGACTTTCAACTGGCATTTGGATCCTCCCAGCAAGGAGACATGATCCTGACTCTGAACTTCATATTGAGAAGGATTAAGGATCCCCAAGGGAGAGAAAAGAACCCCATGCGATTTAAACTATTCAAGAAAAGAGGCATATCCCAGCCTGGCCACGTGCCCTGGGACTCTGTGCTGGGCTGTGCTCACCATGGAAATGTCAGTCTTCCAGATTCTTATACTGCCAATTATCACAATCCTTGGTCAGAGGATTGGTTGATGGACTCTGCCTGATTTGCATGCCGCATCTGGAAATTATTAAGGCATTTCTTGGAAGACGAGGGCTTACTTTGGGCTTACCCAACAATCAACTGAAATCTCTCACCTCAAGGTGGGGCTGTGGGCCCTGGGGGTTCAGTGACTTGGCCAAAACCACTTCTCTAAGCAACTGTTGGCAAAGACAGGACTGAAACCGGTGCCATCCTTGTTCAGTGCCTCTTCCACGACACACCTGCCTTTCTGTAAAATACTCGGATCAGCAGCACTCTAGGGCCCACATTTGCCACTCGTTCTACAAGTACCTCTGCACCTACATGATTCAGTAAGCCAGCAAGCAGTGGGCTGAATCCATGCCAGGGGACATGCGCGGGATGAGCTCCCAGGAGCTCCTCTCCCCTGTGAACTTCTGCACAGTCAGCTGGCAAGTCCAAAAGACAGAAGGGGGCAGGCAAGCAGCACACACAGCATAGGTGAGCCAGGCGTGGTGTGCACACACCCAAGGGTGCTGAGTCCTGGGGCAGCCCAGGAGTGAGCACCTGGCTCCTCTGAGAGCACTTGGCATTTAAGAAAGCCCTTGGAGGTCTGGGAATCCTGCACCCAAGCTGTGTATGTCAAATTTCTGGTGGTTTCTAATACAGAATTCCTAAAAGTGTAAAGTTCTAGCCGAGCTGCCTCTTTAATATGGATGAAAAGTTCAGAATGAGGTAAAAGAAACAGGATCAAAGTGGGTTTAACCAAACCTGCAGAGTGTCCAACACCAAGAGTGAACCCTAAAGTCAACTATGGCCTCTGGGTGACAATGACATATCAAAGCAGGTTTGTGGGTTATAATCCATGTCCCACTCTGGTGGGGGATGCTGGCAGTGGGGGAGGCTGTGCGTGTGTGAGGACAGGGGGACATGGGGACTCTCAGGACCTGCTGCTCAGTTTTGCTGTGAACCTCTAAAAAATAATGTCTATTAAAAATAATTCAGGCTGGGTGCAGTGGCTCACACCTGTAACCCCAGCATTTTGGGAGGTGGAGGTGAGAGCATTGCCTGAGCCCAGGGGTTTGAGACCAGCCTGGGCAACTTGGCGAGACCTTGTCTCTACAATAAGTCAAAAAATTAGCTGGACGTGGTGGTGCATGCCTGTAGTTCCAGCTTCTTGGAAGGCTGAGGGAGAAGGCTTATTTGAGTCCAGCAGGTAGAGGCTGTGGTGGCCGTGAGTATGCCACTGCACTCCAGTCTGAGCAACAGAGTGAGACTCCGACTCAAGAAAAAAAAAAATTCTGTTGATAGGTTACAATACCAGATCCCAATTGATACTTCTATATAGACAAAAAAAATCCTATTCTCAGAATGATTTAAATGATAAGGATTTGAAAAATTGCTATGTAAATATGTAGAACAAAGGAAAAGGGAATGAACAGAGTTGGCCACTAACAGTTACAGTTACAGGCAGTGATACTGGGCAACTTAGCGAGACCTCATCTCTACAATAAAAATAAAGAAATTAGCTGGGCGTGGTAGCGCGCCTGTAGTTCCAGTTACATGGAAGGCTGAGGCGGAAGGATCGCCAGAGCCCAGCAGGTCTAGGCTGCGGTGGCTGGGAGTGGCCACTGCACTCCAGTCTGGGCGACAGAGTGAGACTCCAACTCAAAAAAAAAAAGAAAGGGTGTGACAGAGCAAGACAGGCTTCTGAGCCAATATGCCCACGTGCAAAGGCAAAGGTCAGGCTGTCATGACTCTCTGCTTAATAAATGTTTCTATTCCCTTATGTGAATGGACAGCCTTGGTTAAAAAAACAAGGAAACCTGGATTTCCCAAGGCCAGCTCCTCCCTCCCAAGTCAAGTCTCCATGCCACAGCATTCCGCTGTCCGGCTATTCCTTCTCAGGTACACAATAACCAAGAGCTTTCTTGATGGGGAAAAACCAAAGGGATGTATTCCACCACCCCTCACAGAACCTAGAGCTGATGGGATGTTAGAAGTCAGTGAGGGCCAAAGCTGTCCAGATGTCTGATATCAGAACCCTCTGGACTCTGCAGAAACCTTTCAAGTCCTTCTTGGCTTCCTTCCAGGCTCAGAACTCTGTAAGGGAGCAGTCTAATCTCAAGACAAATGCTGACTGATGAGTGTGCCAAGCGTCTTGCACCAGAGTACCCAGGAGTCCATCTCATTGATTCATTCATCATTTTGCCGTGCAAGACAAGGTCCCTAGTTTTCAGGGAGCTGACCATCCAGTCAGGGGATAATACATTTCAAATGCTATGTCCGCAGTGTGTGGAACACTGAAACTCGGCTGTTCTGACTGGGCCTGAGCCTGGAACACAATTCAGCACAGGAAGAATCCAAGACTGGTCTCATGTCATGCAATGAACAACTGTGGGTTCTCAGTCTGGGAGTCAAAAGTTCCTGGCCGTCATCAACACTAAGCATTGTAAATTCACCAGTTATCAGGAGGGATCAAATCATAGCCACCATTATCACTCCTGGGATTAATCCCATGCTTAACTACTCTAAATTGTAAGCACTAAGGAGCCAAAAAAAGAGAAGAAAGTTTCAGATAAACACCTGATTAACTCACATAGCATGATGGAGATATAAGCTGTAGTGCAAAGAATCCTGGACTTGGGTGGGTGATGAGAGACACGCTTAACGGCTGAGTACTGGACAAGTCACACAGCTCAGTTATTGGACAAGTCCCTTCACAGCCCAGAGGGTCCCTGCCTTTCTTATAAAACGGGATCCACATATCACCCACCAAGGACTGAGGGAATGGAAGTGAATACTATTAGGCCAGTGTTAGAGTTCTTAAATGAACTAGGATGTAACTATTCAACTGCTCAAATTTTAAAAAGCCAATTGTACATAGCAAAGTTCTGAATGTCAGAAACTTTATGAAACATTTACATTATTTTTCACTCACAAAAAGGGCAGAGTAGTGTTCGTACTACATTTAATATTAAATGTACTACTAAGCTGGGCGTGGTGGCTCATGCCTGTAATCCCAGCACTTTGGGAGGTGGAGGCAAGAGGATTGCCGGAGCCCAGGGGTTTGAGACCAGCCAGGGCAACTTGGCGAGACCTTGTCTCTACAATAAATCAAGAAAAACTGCCCAGGTGTGGTGGTGTGCACCTGTAGTTACAGTTGTTTGGTAGGTTGAGGTGGAAGGATCACCTGAGCCCAGCAGGTTGAGGCTGCCGTCGCCGTGAGTGTGCCTCTGCACTCCAGCCTGGGTGACAGAGTGAGACACTGACTCAAAGAAAAAAGTACTATTAACGGACTATATACAACTCTAGGCAATCTTTCAGGTCATAATTATTTAAATTATTTACTTGCAGCTAATATGAATGCATTGTGTCAACACCTGATTTCCACAAGACGCCAACTTACAATAATCACATTTAGGGCTGAACTTGGGGAGTCAGACGCCCTGTCCAAAGTTATCAGCAGAGAGAAGGCCAGAAAGCACTGAGACTCCTAGGCAGCGGTGACCTTGAGCTCTGGTCATCTTTGTGCATTTCACAGGACTTCTTAGGACGACGTCTCACACACAGTGGGGTGGCAGTTAACTTTTGCTGACGCCATCAGGTTTTCAGAAGGCTGCCTGAGGCTCAATTTGACCCTCCAGCCCTGCCACCACAGGGGTGGTACACCTCCCAGCTAAAACAGCAAAGAGACTTTGTAGCGCACACTCGTCAGGTACGAGGCGTGACAGCCACCTCAGAGGCAGACGGGCGCCGAGCATCCAGCAAGCGCTCTGGAAGCGAGGCTCGCAGGGAAGGAGGCCGGGACTCGACGCGCGGGAAGGGAGGGGGCAGAGGCCAGGGCTGGAGCGCGGGGCGGAGTGAGCGCGGCTGCAGGCC